GAAACTGGTCACTTTCCATTATTTTCCACAGCTTCTCTGGAAAGCAGAGGGATGAGAATTCGCTTTCCATTTTTCTGTCCCAGCTGGACCGAAGCTTCTGTCGCTGGCCCTGGCCTTGGAGAGCCGGGTCTTGTCCTGCCAGTCAGCAAGCCCAGGCCAACTGGTGCCCGCTGACTGTGGGTACGAGTGGGGTATCCTGGCATGTCACTGTGATGCCCGTGGTGCGAAGCAGTGACATCACAGCGTGACACCACGGTGATGGTTGCCATGGTGCCCTGGCAGATGCGGCCAGAGCGGCCCAAGGAGAAACTGCTGAAGAGCACTTGTTGCTTTGAGCTCCCAGAGCCACTGTTGGCAGGACTCCCAAGCCCAGAGTCAGTGAAGCGGTGTTGAACGGCTGTAGGCAATGAGAGGACCGTGCTGTGTCCAGCTGCGTCCCAGACTGGGTCCGCAGGGAGGAGCAGGAGGGCTTCAGCGTAGGACATCCCATGGCCCCATTCAGGAATTTTTTCAGCTGGACACCCCTGACACCTGCAAAAGTGTCCTTATATTCTTTGTTGTTATTTCACTGAGATAGTGTCTGTAAAGAAACGTGATCCAAGATATTTTAGGTCGCTAATTTGGGCCATGCTGTAAACACAAAGAGCAGTATGTAGGAAGTATGCACATATGTAGGAAGAAGCCTACATTAGGTATACAAGAAGGTAGTCCAAAGCACAGGAAAAGTGTTGGACAAAAGGAGGAGGGACATTTTTCCAATCTTCACCTTTATAAAGTGTTATTAAAATACTGAATGAAACAGCAGGAAGAAAACATTTTCTTAAAAATCGTAGAATTATTTAGGTTGGAGAAGACTATTAAGATCACTGAGTTCAACTGTTAACCTAACACTTCCAAGTCCACCACTAATTTATGTCCTTAAGTGCTACGTCTACACATCTTTTAAATACTTTCAGGGATGGTGACTCAACCACTTCCCTGGACAGCCTGTTCCAATGCTTGGTAATGCTTTTGGTGAAGAAATTTTTCCTAATATCCAGTCTAAACTTCCTCTGGCACAACTTGACGTTATTTACTTTCATCCTATCATGTGTTAATTGGGAAAGAGATCAACACCCACCTCACTGCAATCTCTTTTCAGGTAGTTGTAGAAAGTGACAAGGTCTCCCCTCAGCCTTCTTTAAACTAAACAATCCCAGTTCCCTCAGCTGCTCCTCATAAGACTTGTTCTCCAGCTTTGTTGCTCTTCTTTGGACACAGTCTAAGATCTCAATATCTATCTTGTAGTGAGGGGCCCAAAACTGAATCAGAATGAAAGGAGGAACGAAAACTTACACCTTTTCCCTGTGGTAAAGTAATGAAGAAGCATCCTTTCCATTACAAAGAATCCTTTTCCTGACATCTCCCGCTATAAAGGTGCCACTTTCTAGCACAAGACAGGAGTCAGTGCCAACCTGTTACCTTTAACTCATTTCTGCCTTGGGCATTAACAAGAAGGCAGTGCTTGCGTTGAACCAACTCCATTTTCAACCAGTATATGCTTTGCATTGAAGAAATGACCACAGACCATCTGTTTATCAAAGCAACACTGAAGGGAGCAACTACATTCTTAGTAGTCTTAGCCGAGAGAAACAGCCCGTTCTTTGTTTTTATTAAGAAACTGTCCAGTTGGTCAGTCTAGATTTCAAAGACTAATTTCTCCAAAGCATCTGTAGTCCAAAAAAATCTATTAAATCTCTCTTCAAATGAGAAAATGCTGTACCAACACTGATTAGTTCATATTTTAAATAGTGTAATCATTGACACTAAAGATATATTGCAGAAATTTGGCAGTTGAGACTGAATGATGATATTTATACCAGCTAAGTAGCAGTTATAAAATCTACAGCTAATGCTTCTGGCATGGATTACATGCAAAATACAAGCGGAAATGGTTTATTAAACAGTTGAACAAATGGGGGGTGGAGTGGTGTTGCTCAAGAGAAATTAGAACATTAGAATGGAAAAGCAACAGAAGCAACACTAAACTCCCAAATCAGTGGAAAAGTTGAAATTGACATAGCTATCTTAAAAATATCATGTCAGCAGTTAACCATTCTAGTGCCAAAAAAGCATATTCCATTCTTGCTTGAGAAGCCGAACACTCTGGTGTTAATGATAATTTTGGCTGAGTAGAAGAAGCAATGAGGTCCTGTACCAAGACATAGCCCAAATCAGTACTTAGAGAAATGAAGTGTATGTTGAGGTTCTGAAAGACACAGGCATTTCATACAGGTTTTTTTTTACAAAAAATACTTTTAGATAATGTTTATACTGTACAGGACTAGACTTTTAAACAATATCTGATATTGTTAAAACGTTCATCTAAATACTAGGAAAACAAGTGTGAAACCAACCCATTAAGAAGGTTCACAAATTTTAGAGCTCTTCTCTCTGGACAAGAAGTACCAGAATGTTTAGAGTGTCATCTGGAAAATGAGAAAAAAGTCAAGTTTGGGAGAATGATTTCCAGAATGTTTGGATCATCACAAATCAAATATTCTCAAATGAAACTGTAACTTGGTCAAAAATGTGATGTAGGTCTAGGGGAAGGAGACAGTTTTGTAACAGTGGTGAAAAGTACAGGTTAAAGACCATGGTCATTGCCATGAAAAGGAATATGGCCTTTTAGAAGGTACTTAGACGAAAGAGCAATTTTAATAGATCAATGCAAAGCTTTACGTCAGCAGAATTGAGAAAGCCTTGAAAAAAATCTACACTGCTAAAGTGCATTTTCTGTTTACAAAATATAGCTAATCTTAGTGAGTGGGAGCAGTCAATATTGTACATAATGATGAAGAGTAAAAAGAAAAACTATTTGTATTTCACAACTCTCCTACCACTGCGTTAGAAGGAAATCTGAACTTTACATAAGGAAGTGAGCTAAACAAAGAATATGAGTATATTCTTTGTTACTTGCTTCCAGGGGAGTATGGGTTTTAGTACAAAGTTATTTAAAATATTTTTATATAGTATGCATACTGAGTACTTGGTGTGTAAAATTTATATCTGTCAAATATTATCCACTAACATTTTCATTACAATCCTGCATTTGTCTGAAATCTCTGAAGGCTGATCAGAAAACTGTGGGGAATGGAACTGCCCAGCCCATATCTTCCTCTTCCTCTGAGGAACCTCCTCTTTCTTCTCCTACCTCTTGTTTTTGATGGTGTAATAACTATGCACTTTGTCAAGTCCAGCAGTGTCCTAGGGAGAGTTTGGAATTCAGATCCACAAAAGCCTGACCTGTGTAGGAGATTGTGTTAAGTCACTTGTTGCTTGCAAGTCCAGTGAAGAGCATGGTGATCATGGTAGTTGTTTCTGTGGTGGTAGGAGCGCACCAGGATGCAAGAACTGGGTTTGCAGACTATCATGGCGAGTGAATGGGGCTGCTTGTAAGGAACATCCCAAACTGTCATCAAATACTAAATACTCTGGGAAATGGCTAGGAAGGATGGATTACCTAGCGTTGGTGAGGGCAGACATGCCTCTCCTGCAGGTCAGAATGGATCTCTAGAGGTAGATATGGCTGGGGTGAGTTTGTGAGCCATCCTGATGGAGGGCCAGAAGAAAAAGCCTGCCTGGTGCAAGGCTCAGGTAGAAGTTACTTTAGCTCCATCTTAATTTGGCAAATCCCTTGTTAATGCAGGGGCTTAGGCTGTGTGTGGGTAGCATTGTTTGTCTCTCCTGCTCCCTCCTTATGGAAAACTGCAGATATTGTCTCTTCTGTTACAGGCATGCAGCTCCCTGTGAGGCTGGGGAAGCATCTGGGCATGGAGTGGAAGAGTCCTGGGACAGATGCTCTGTGGGCAGTAGCAGAGGGAAAGCTTTGCTGTAAGGCTTCCTGCAGTTTTAGGGAGAAGTGTGTTGGTGGCTCCCGTGTCCATTTCTCACCTTGCGTGTGCCAATATAGTTCTTTGGGAGGAAGACAAAGTTATGTGTATGTGGTCTTCACTAGCCCTGCATAACTAGCTGGAATGGTGTGGGACTTCTGCCCAACTCCTGATGCTTGCCCATTTTTAAAGCATCTGGGGTTGGGACCCTCAGATGTACAGCTTAGTGTCCATGGCATTGGTGGCCTCTGTCCCACAGCAGGTTGGAAACAGTGCCCGGTAATAGAGTTAATGGGCTTGTTCATTAAAGCATGTATTGGGGAAATTAGTACATGACTCCTTTTCCTATCAGCCTCCTGGACACAGCTGTGGAGTGCTTCACTGGGTGTTGTAATTGTTGTGTTGTGTGTTTTATACAAACACCCATTACCACAGTATCTGAACACCTGTGAGGAGCTGATGCATCAGGATGTGGTCAGGTTCAGAGGCACACAAACCGATGAATATCACATTCTACCTCTTTAATTCTCACCCCATGCAAATCTTTTTTTGGCAAATAAATCAAGGAGGGAGGTTGGTGCATGATTCATTAAAAATAATAGTAGAAGGAAGGCAGGAGTGGACAGGTGGAGACAGAACTTCCAAATGCTTGTGGGAGCAGCTCTCCTTGCAGCAGCCTGGAGATGACCAAAGCTTTCTTTGAGGTTGACAGTAGGTTTCTGGCTCCTTATTTTACTGAAGAATCTGAAGCAGTAAAGACCAATGTTTTTGGAGTAGGTCTCACTGTCACCACTTTCCCCCCTACCCCAAGCCTACCCACGTCTGGTCTCCCTGTCCTTCCTGTCCATCCCCCTACAACTGCTCCTGCCTGATTCCCACCTCAGACTTCTGCATTCTTGCCCAGCCCTGCTGCTAAGTGCAGCCAAGCAAATGGGCCCCCAAGCTGGTAGGCCTGGGAAACACAGCAGCTTAAGCCCTGCTCCACGTCATGCCTCACTTCTGGTTTTAGCTTATGTGACCTTGGAGACCCGCCTATTGGAATGAGAGAGGCTTCTTCTAGCTCCCAGCAAATTTCAGAGCTCCTTGAAAATCACAAGGAAGACTTACAAGACTGTAGGAATGAGAAATAAGTGGAAATGTTTAACTTTGTTACTTAAATAACTGTTTACAAACGGGAGAAACTTGTCTCTGCTGATATTAAGCCGTCCATATATGAGCCTTGAGAACCTCACTAGGCCAATCTTTTGGTTGAGCGTAGCTCAGCAGAGCAGCAGCACTGCCTGTGAGACATCCTGCACTTCTCTTCCCTGTCCCCCTTTTCTCTTGACTGCAAAATGGGGGTGATGGTGTCTGGCCACATTTGCATCAGCCAGCAGAGACCTATTGATGAACAGTAGCCAGAAAAAACAGGTATGAAGCCAAAGGTTACCTTTGGCATTTATACTTGCTTCAAGCTTATGTTTTTTCCCAAAGTGCATTTTCAACCAGTCTTAAGCTACTTGCAGCTTTTGTTTGTGTTTGGCAAATAACTACAGTTAAACTAATAAGTCATAAATTAAATATTTCATATGGAAATATTCAGGAAACCAACGTGTGGTGGTACTCCTCCCTGTAGTTAGCTGCTGAGAGCACTGCTAGGTGAGGCACAAGACCCAGTTTCAAATCCCTTCTCTATATTAAGATGCAGAATCTGGATTTAAGTCTTCTGTGCTACAGAATGGCCTTGTCACTTGGCTGGGGGCCATTTTGTGATTTTTATGCCTTTCTAGACAAGCTCTCTATGGAGGTGTGTGCAGTCACCATGGGCCAATCTGTTGCCAACCTGGAAAATGACTAGCCCATCTTTGGTGGGCAGTCATGCCATTGTGAAATACTCTGTTCAGCTCTGTATACCTTACACCAAAGTAGATGTTCCTTTTCCTCTAATTACCTCTGTGCTACTGTTACTCCCCAGGACCTTGGAGCACTATTAAGTAGTAATAACTCCTGATACATGTGGGAGAAATCAAGGTTAAAACGTAGCTCATTAAGAGAGCTCCAGGAGGAGCACAGAAAGGGGGTTCTGTCTTGTACAATGCATAAAGCTCCCATGGGTGTGTCTGAATGCAGGTTTACTACCAGAAGAGTTCAGCTCAGAAGACAAGTGGTTTGGTTCCTGGGTGTTGGACTCTGTCAGGTCAGCAAGCAGGAGAGCAATACTTACACACTGAGCCTCTGTGGTTTGTTTTATTTTTGTATTTATTTTGGTTTGCTTTTTCTCCAGAGGTCTTTGAAATCAAATGGAAGCTCCAGACTGGTGCTGAGTCAAGCCCTTGGTCTGACTGCGGGTGTGTAGAAATGAGCTGAAGCGGTCAAGATGGGCTGTATCACTCCAAGCTGCTTTGAGTCCTGTATCACAGACCTCTTTACTGTAAGGAGTCTTGTGTCTCCCCATTATACTGACGTGATGCAGTGAAATGAAAAGCTGTGAGCTGCACCTCTGCACAACACAATTGCATGGGGAAGGGTTTCTGGGTAAGAACACAGTGGGATGCTTGAGCTTGCCAGATGGAGCTCTTGGTTTGCTGCAGCGCTTGTAGTGTCCCTGCAATAGCTCTCCTTTAGCCAGAATGGAGACTGCAGGTGCCATGGTCTGTGGCACAGGGTGAGAGACTGCTTTGGGGAGAAGCAGAGGCCAGAAAAATAGTGGTTTGGCACCTGGATTCCCATTGTAGGCCATGTCCTGTCTGTGTTTTCTTGCCCTCCAGCTACTAGCATAGTGAATTTGACTGTACACAGGTCAAGAGCGGGGCAAAGAATACAGAAGCTGTTTGCATTGTGGTACTGGGTACTACACCTCAAAAGCCAGGCATCCAAACCTATCTGTAACTGTGGTGTTCTGCAGCTCTAGCTAACCCATGCAGCTGCTTGGAAAAGGACATGGAGGAAAGGTTTCTTGCAAGGACCTCTTGGATTGCTTAGTACATACTAGTTATATTTGCCCAAGTGTTGTGGCTGACCATAAAAAGCGGAACACCATCAGAAAGCTCTTGCAGTTCTATTTTAGTCCTAGCAGTGCTGCTCACCACAGTTACTATTCTGGTCTTCCCTTCTGTGCTTTCAGCGCCTCCTCTCTGAGGTGACCAGCACCCCAGCTGTCCTGCTCAGATCAATTGTCCTTAACTTGAACTACCTGGTTTAGAGTGAAGTCCTCATATGGAGAGGGCTGTCTGTAGCTGTCTCATAGGTCTGCAGCTCAGTCCAGGACCAGACTTCTCTAAAGGGCAGAGCCTTGAAAATGGTTTAAACACCTTAAACACAGGTGCTTGGCTTTGCAGCTGCAGTAGATGTTGGATCCCATAGGAAGCCTAGCACCCACATGGTGAATTAATGACTATGGTACTGCATTTGCTTCCAGTTTTGTTCTTGTAACTAAGTCTAAATTGAGCTGCTGATGGTTTTTGCACCACCTGGAGTGGTCACACTTCTCCTTAGCTGTTTTTACCTCTTTGTGCTTTTTTCCTTAATGATGACAAGCTAATCATGTGATCTTCCACAGCTGTGAAGGTGGCTTTGTGTACTGCTTGGAGCCTGAGTCTTTAGCACCACTCCTCAAGGCTGCCTTCTGGTTCTTGCTCCTTCTGGAAAGTGTGTCAGTGTGCACGTGTTGACCTACAAGGGTAGCACAGGTGATGCACACTCAACAGTAGCTTCTTACAGTGTAACTTCAGGACTTCTGAATGCACACTGCATCCTTCTCCTCCTCTTACACTACTCTAAGTCAATAACAGACTCTGGTACTGCTGTCCATTCATGTGATGTTCTTGCTGGGGCTTGCTCTAGTCTGTGGCATTAAAAAATAGAAAGGATGTACCCTTTTATCACTGTGCTGTGGCAAGAAAACAGTTGTATTCATTTAGAACTATTGCAATCTGTTTGTAAGACATGATATAATTGAAAAGTCTGGCACATTTCCCACAGCAAACATTGTTAATCCCCACTAGCTAGGATTAGTCACCACTTCTTACAAGCCTTGACACAAAGCTAGCAAGTTATTCAGTTAATCTGCACTTACAGGATAAATATTGCATCCTATGGGAAATTAGGCAGTGTCTTCTTCCTCTCCTATTGTACAGTGATGCATTGTGTCTCTTACACCTGAAGGTGGAAGGGAAAAATGCAATAACATGTGATTGATGGTACCAGACACCTGCTATCACAGTGCAACTGGATCAGCAGGGAAATTTAGTACAAAATAGCTTGCTGACAGGCAGCAAATATAAACATCATCTTTGTGCTCTTCATTGCACTGGAGAATTTTTTGATTTCACAACAGTGAGTACTTGATGCCTCACAGCTGCAAGACTCTTCCAAGTGTCCTCTCTTCTTTTTTACTGTGGGGTTTTTTTCTCTTGTGATCTCAAGCTGTATCTGCAAGTAGTGTCATTGGGGTGGTTGGTATATTCCCCATGAAACCATGGTCTCTGACATGAAGGTGTTTCAGGCTCTGAATTTTTGCAGAGTCCAAGGTGCAGCTCCAAGTTTCCTCATGGACAATCTCCACACCAGCAAGATCTTAACTGAGTAGGTGACTTGAAAACCAATTTTTCTGGTCAAAATAGCTGAGTGGATATGGAAATACCAGGTTTCCAGCTGTTGGTCAATTCACCTGGGGAAGCTGGCTTGAAGCAGAGCACCTAGGAAAGCTCAGAGACTTCAGTTCAGCAGCCCTGACAGGGTGTTTCTTCCAAGCCCACACACTGCAAGTGTCCAGTGAAACCAAGACCATGAGTGGGCACAAGCAGGGAAAGGAGGGGACTTCTGGCTGAGGAGGTCTTAACATGTGAGGAGTTTTGAAAATTTCTAATTTCAGTGTGGTTTGATCCAAAATCTTTAAAAAAGAAAAAAAGACACACTTAAATATTCTCTTAGATGTTTAATTCTCTCTGTGTTTTTTACCCACTTAAATTACATTTTATCTTAAGTCATGGGATAAATAATTACATACATGAATGGCTGTTTCTTCATGTCCTTGATTTATCATCTCACTGGATTGAGTCATGTTTTCAGGGATTTTAAGCTTAAATTTCACTCTTAGTGGAGTTGTAAGTCTTGAATAAGGTGCTATTGAAAAGAGAGGACTTGTGCTAAAAGCTTCTTCTGTTTTGACAGTCCTTCTAGTCACATATACACATTACTCTGTGACTGATTCCTTAAATGTGGTAGTGAATTATGTTCCCCTCTTGCCCCATCCCCAGAAATTCTTTTGGTGACCATGTGTGTGACCAGCCCTGACTCCCCAGCATCTTCTCTGCGTGAACGCTGGATGCCAGGTGAAGTCTGGTATGGATATCATAGCAAGTTGAGGCTTTCACGTTGGGTGATGTCTGTGTCTTATCCTTGTCCTTTGCTTTGCAGTGTTGGTTAGCTGTCTAGGAAAAGTTAGGTTTCATTTCCAT